GTTGTTCTAATAAAAACTATTGTTTTTGATATGCATATTTAATTTTTAAAATTACAGTCATTCTTTGTTAAAATGTGTACCAGGAATACTGAAATCTTTCAGATCAGCTACCAATTCCCTTTATAACTTATGTAGCCGAGTGTTGTATCTATTTCTGTTCAGATTAAACAAATGATGGGTAATTAAAATATTAGTTTAGATTCTTTCAAAAAAAATGAGCTTGCCTACTTTCAAAGCATAAAAAGCAATAAAATAAAGCAAAAGTACTTATTTTTAATTTAAAACTTGAAATGTTGTTTTATCAGCTTTAAAACCGGATAAATCCACGAAGCACTCCTAATATTTGTCGCAATATTGATTTTTTCGCGCATGCTCCGTACAAAAAGCCCAGCTGTTTACACCCACTATATCTGGGTGTTGAAAGTCATGTGACCGGCCGGTGCCAGGGCCTTTTTCCGCCTTCCCAATGACAAAAAGGGAAAAGCCCTGGGAACGAGGTTGGCAAGCCTGTGGACACAATGTGAAGAACGTCAGTAGATTTAAATGTAGGAATTTTTTTTTGAGCGCTCTCTTTTGCATGATATTTATTTTCTCGATTGTATGCTGCATGATTTTTTTTTCTTCTTGGATTGCAGGAATTTTTTTTTCGAAATCTTCCAACCCCCCCCCCCTCAAAAATCAAATGGTCCGCCCCTAATGGACATATTACCTAACGAATAAAATTTTGATCTAGACAAGTCTAGACAAAAATTTCATTACAGCTTGAAAGAGCATCACAAAATTAGTAATATTCCGTCGTTTCGTTGCGAAATGTTGTAAAATGCGGATAATATAGCCTTGCGAAGTTTGCCGTTTTTCAGTCATTTTGTATTACGCACGGGAAATTGATACCGCTTTCTGAAAAAAGGTAATAGGTCCATTTAATGTAATTTTTTCATTTAATATCCAAAACACCGTCTTTGCGATGATTCCCTTTGATTCGGTCGGTTCATGAAATGATGACTTTGAGGTGTAAAGTGTAACAACACCTTGACCTCTGTACTCGTTCTTTTTCAGACTGAAAGCAGAATGGCGTGCAGTAAAGAATTGCGTGTCCCAAAAGAATGGAACAAATACCACGAAGATATCGTGAACGAATCCGTAGATCCAGAATTATTCTCCGAAGATGAACTCTTCTCGTGGTTAGAAGAACTTGATTTGAGTCACAACAAGTCCGAAGTAGCAAAATATGTCCATGGTGTAAGACCTTACCACTTGATGCGTCACCAGGTTGTACTTATTCCCAACAACGCATTATGTAGACAACTCTTTAAACTCTGGACAAAGACGGTAATTGCACTATTTATGAGTGACGATGTCTTGGAAAGATTAAATGAAGATGAGATGCACCAAATCTGCAACGCTATTCAATTATTGGATGATCAGATACGTGAAGAATTTCCCCGATTTCCAACCATCGCGGAAATGAAGCAGTCTTTGTTGCTGCAGAAGGTTGACGAGAAGTTCATTCCGCACATTATATACTTTCTAGATTTTGCAAACAACGTAGCAAAATCTATTATCGACCAAGGTAATTTTTCAAAAGAAGATGTTAATGATTATTGGAGGCGCTTAGTTGTCATGATTATGCTTTACTATCAAGGTGTTGAGGTGGAGGATAAGCACATCGTTTGCTCGTATTCCGAAGATGTCTTGACGCGTCTTCTTACTGCTGCAGCCATGGTATGGCTACAAGTCCAAGAATTGGTGGTAGGGTATGTGATAAAAAACACTGAACACGTGTCTCTCTTAAACCAGTTGTATTTCCTTGCTGTTGTCTATGCCATGGTCGTCAATGATGTCTATTCTTACACCAGAGAAATGAATTTAGATGTCGGCATTTGCAATATGGTCCAAACAATTGCTGGCAGCAAAGAGGCGTCTGCGGAGTCCGATGCTGTTATAAAATGTGTTGAAATTCTCAACGCGGTAGTAAAGACAATGTATCAGAAGATTGAGAAGGCCAAGCAGAAAAACCCGGCAAACCGAGACCTGTGGAAATTGTTGGACAACATTGGCATGGCTACAGTAGGTTGGTATTATTGTCAGCATTACAGTCCTCGTTACGATGACTCTCTTTGGCGTCTCTCTATAGTTGACGTTGAAAACGATGAGTTGGAGGAATGGCGGAAATGCAATGACGAAGAACAACTTCAAGAAGTATTACCTTTATTGATCAACTGTAGCCCAAAAGCAAAGAAAATCAGTGATGCAATTATAAGTGGTATGGTTAATATGCATGCAAATATTTTGCATGAATGACTGCCAAACAATTTATTACTTTATTTTTCAAGATAAAGATATTTTATGGTAAAAAATGACTCGTGGCTTAAGTTCAATAACTAACAGGTGACGAATTGTAAATTACGGTAACATTCTTTTCCGTGTTGAAATTACTTTATTTCAACAATCCTGGGTATAAATTATTGGCAAAAGGGTAAAAAATAAGAAAATTCATCGAATTTCACACCCCCCCCACCCCTCCCCTAATATCAATGTTGATGGGTATGAGATAATTTCCAAATTTGAATGTTTTAGTTTTATTGTATGAGATGTCTGATTGATAGGGTTTTTACTTATACTGAAAATAGTATGAAATGCTGATATAAAGTGATTCTTTATACATTTACACAACTTTCATGTATTCGACATTCATAGATTAATAAACAGACAAAGAACACAAATGTAAAGATTAATTAACGTGAATTCACATAATGGTAGAGATGGATACAATGTATCTTCATCCATTTTATTAATTACAAAGAAATTATAATTACTGACCCTCATCAAACCTATTGTTTTCTCTCTGCATTATCATCAGCGAATGTCGAGAAGTTTTAGCATTTTTCTGAAAAACGGGAGCGGTCTTTTTTTATTGCAGGGAAATCCCAGGGGGGTAATGTAATGCAGCGCCCACACAGCATTATTAAAAATAATGCAGCGTCCATACAGCAAAACTAAAAATAATGCAGCGTGTACCCAGTATTATTAAGAGGGTGGGAAAGGGTATTTTCGCGAGCCGTGAATGGTCAATATTTGTTCGCGTGATTGTCGATAAAAATGCTCCCTGAAATGAGAATTAAAGTGTCTGTTTCGTGAACTTTGATTTTGCTTTGTTTATTTCGATCAATTTCGTAAGTCATAATAGACATGATACGCGATAATCAATTTATATGATCGATTAGCCTGCGAACAGGCTCTATAGATCGATCTCACTCGATTGCACAAGACTAAAAACTTCGGAAGCCTTTCGGTGGTCGTCGGACATACTCGTCACTCAAACTTTTTAAGTCTTTTAAGTTATGGTGTAGTTTTTAACTGCCAGGCAGAGAAGTGAGAGAACTTAAAGCGTTGTACTGTACCATGCATTAAACATACTCTTAATAAACCTATTATTATTATGTTATTATAGAATCTACTTTTCTGTGAAATTGCTTTTTAAGACACGTGAATCGTAAAACGGCTTTTTTTCGTTGTGAAACGTGATCCATACCCCCGCCCCCCTTCCCACCCTCTATTAAAAACAGTGCTGTAAAAGTTACTCATTTTTTGGAACTAGTTACAGTTACAGTTACATTCCCAAAAAAGGAACTAGTTACTGGTAAAAGTTACACTTAAAAATATGTAACTAGTTCCCGTTACAAAATTACTTCAATATTTTTGTAACTAGTTACAAGTTACTTCAAGTAAGAAAAACCCCAGTTTTTTTCAACTTAATGATTAGTGGTCAGCAGATTGACGTTAATTATTTGTAAACGTTATGTAACCTTACCACTAATGGATCTCT